AGCTAACATGCTACCGTGCTGACAGAGTCATCGTCGCGGGAGGTAAGACCCGCGGGGGAGGACTTTGTGTTTACATCAATGACGCCTGGTGCCGCGATGCTGTTGCGGTCTGCAAACACTGCTCACCAGTGCTGGAGTTTATGGTTATTAAGTGCCGGCCATTCTATCTACCGAGGGAATATACAGCCATACTACTGTGCGCTGTGTACATCCCTCCCTCCTCCAATGTCAACAACAGGAGCGAGGCACTGAATGAACTGTACCAGCACATCAGTGAGCAGCAGACAGCCCATCCTGATGCTTTTCTCATCCTGGCTGGGGATTTCAATCATGCAGACTTAAAGTGCGTGTTTCCAAAAATACAACAACACATAGACTTTCCAACAAGGGGAAATAACACACTGGACTTTGTTTACACCACCCAGAGAGGAGCTTACAAAGCTTTTCCCCTCCCCCACCTCGGCGCCTCAGACCACATCACTGTCATGCTAATGCCTGCTTACAGACCGCTCGTTAAAACCACCAAACCGGTTCGTAAGCAGATACAAGTGTGGCCAGAAGGGTCTTCAGAGGCTTTACAGGACTGCTTTAACACCACAGACTGGAACATGTTTAAGCAGGCTGCCACCTACAACAACACCACTGACCTCCAGGAGTACGCAGAGACTGTTACAGCCTACATCAACAAGTGCATTGAGGATGTAACAGTCACGAAAACCATAACTGTCCGGGCCAATCAAAAACCATGGATGACAGGAGAGGTCTACAGGCTGCTGAAAGCTCGGAATGTTGCCTTCAGAGATGGAGACGAGGCAAGCCTGAGGACAGCTAGGGCCAACCTTTCCCGTGGCATCAGAGAGGCTAAGAGACAGTACTCCAGGAAAATATCCCATCACTTCAAAGACAGCAGAGACTCACGGAGCCTGTGGCGGGGCATTCAGACCATCACAGATTACAAGCCCCACCACAGACTTGTGACAGTACTATCCCCCTGCTGAACGAGCTGAACACTTTCTTTGCTCGCTTTGAAGTCCGAAACAGCACCACTGCACAGAAGAACCCACCCCCTCCTGGTGACCAGGTGATGACTCTGTCCCCGGACAGCGTGAGGAGATCCCTCAGCAGGATCAATGCACGTAAAGCTCCGGGTCCTGACAACATTCCTGGTCGTGCACTGAGAGACTGTGCAGTGGAACTCACTGATGTCTTCACAGACATCTTCAACATATCACTCATCCAGGCTGTCGTCCCCACATGTTTTAAAGCCACCACAATCATTCCGGTCCCAAAAAAGTCATCTCCCTCCTGCTTTAATGACTACCGTCCTGTTGCACTTACTCCCATCCTGATGAAGTGCTTCGAACGACTAGTCATGCAGCACATCAAGACTGTCCTGCCCCCTCCCTGGACCCCTTCCAGTTTGCGTATCGGCCCAATCGCTCAACCGATGATGCCATCTCCACTGCACTCCACTCAGCACTCACACACCTGGACAAAAAAGATTCATATGTTCGAATGCTGTTCATAGACTTCAGTTCAGCATTCAACACTATAATCCCCCAACAGCTCATTCAAAAACTGGTCCAGCTGGGGCTCAACACCTCACTGTGCAACTGGCTGTTGGATTTCCTCACCGGAAGACCTCAAGCAGTACGGGTCGGCAGTAATACATCCAGCACCATCATTTTAAACACGGGGGCCCCGCAGGGATGTGTGCTGAGCCCCCTCCTCTTCACTCTGCTGACCCATGACTGCACTCCATCACACAGCTCCAACCTCTTCATCAAGTTTGCGGACGACACAACGGTGGTGGGTCTCATTAGCAACAGGGATGAGACCGACTACAGAAGTGAGGTGAGACGCCTGGCCACATGGTGTGCTGACAACAATCTCTCTCTGAATGTGGAGAAGACGAAGGAGATTGTTGTGGACTTCAGGAGAATGCACACCCAACATGCTCCTCTGACCATTGACGGAGCGTCTGTGGAGAGAGTGAGCAGCACCAAGTTCTTGGGTGTGCACATCACAGAGGATCTCTCCTGGACGTACAACACCACAGCACTGGCCAAGAAATCACAGCAGCGTCTCTTCTTTCTCCGCAAACTAAGAAGAGCAGGAGCTCCAGCCCCCATCATGTACACTTTCTACAGAGGCACCATCGAGAGCATCCTGTCGAGCTGCATCACTGTGTGGTTTGGAGCCTGCAATGCGTCCTGCCATAGAACCCTCCAACGCATAGTGAGAGCTGCAGAGAGGATCATTGGTGTCTCTCTCCCCTCCCTCCACGACATTTACAGCACCCGTCTCACTAAAAAAGCCCTTTGCATAGCGGCTGATCCCACGCACCCAATGCAAAGCTTCTTCAAGCTGCTGCCGTCAGGGAGGAGACTGCGGAGTCTCCAGGCCAGGACCAGCAGACTGAAGGACAGCTTCATCCATCAGGCTGTCAGGAAGCTAAACTCCCTCCCGATTCTGCCCCCTCTCCCCTCTTCTCCACCACGGTCTCACTGAACTCTGTCACACACACACACACACTCACTCTCTGACGCACTCACTGGCCTGCTCCAGTCACTTTGTGGAGCATTGGACTGCCATTACCTCATAAGACTTTTTTGTTACACTATCTCTTACCGTACACTACTAAATCTCCATTTGCACTATTTGCCTATTTTGCACCACTATGCCTTCTTACTTGAATATTGTATATTGTATATTGCATAGCTTTTTTTTTGTTATACGTAAAATTGTATTGTATTTATTTAAATTTTTACTTTTTAATTATTTTATTTGCATTTTTCTAATCACTAGGGTTTGAGAGTAACGCAATTTCTATTCTGTGTATGTCCTGTACATGTGGCAGAATTGACAAATAAAGTTGACTTGACTTGACTTGACTTGACTCAAATCTGGGGGTGTTACAATGGAAACATTAACTCCTGACCTCTTAACTCTGAACTCCGACAGGGGCTATGACACAAACAGAGTAAATTCACAGACTCCGCCTCCAGCACGGCTCCAGTCGAAGCTGAAGTGAAGCCGTTTCAGAACATTTTGCTCTACATATTTGAGTTGTTTGCCATGCTTGGTAAGTCATTTTTTCAAAGATTGTTTCAATTATTATTATGAGCTTTTACTTCTGTGGCTCTTTGGAGTTGAGACAAAGCTGTGTGAAAGGCATTAGCCGTGTTGCTCGCTGATAGCATAATATTCTGTTTTAGCTAGCTGAAAGGTATTGTTTGCGGGCAAATACCACAGCCTTGAAAAAAGCTTGCATGTGAATTTTCCAATCCAATCCAATCCAATTTTATTTATAAAGCACTTTAAAATACCCAGCACAGGAACAAAGTGCTGTACAGAAAATAAGTTAAAACAATAGAATAACAAAAAACAGCAAATTAAATAAATAAAACACATAAGACATAAAATTAAAACAGCCCTATGTTAAAGCAAAAACAAGATAAAACAGCATCGAATCACCTAAAAACAACTAAAATAAAAATAAAAAACCAACATCTCACGTGGTGTCAAAGGCCAAGGTAAAGAGGTGGGTTTTCAAGAGTGACTTAAAAACAGATAAAGAAGTGGCCTGTCTAATCTCTAAAGGAAGCTCGTTCCACCGTTTTCAGTCAAACCTTTGGTCAAATACACCTAAAATAATGTCTAGAATGTGAAATGTTAGTATAATGGTGCTACTTGAAGTCTGACAACGATCGCCCATAAAAAAAAACGAGCAAACAGCAGTAGCAGACGTCCTCACTGGATTCTACGTTAGCATTTAGATCCCTCCAGAGTTTTGTGCACACGGTTTAGGTAAAAATGAAAAAGGTTGAGGTTTTACATTTAGTTCAGTATTACCTGTTGCCTGTGTCCTTGTCCTTTGGGAAAATACTTTACACAAGTAATGGCTCAAAAAGGATTCCTTTTTTTTTTTTTTTTTTTTTTTACTGTGCTGCAATTGTTTACTGGATTATTTGTGCCATTAATTAGTGTTAACTAATTTTTATTCAATCTCCGCACAGGATATGCTTGTGAAGATGGAATATGGGGGAGAGCAGAAGTGCGTTGAAGTTCCACAAAGGGATGAATGAAGGACATGCATATTGTATTGAAGAAATAAGTGATGAGAATGCTGTTATTTGCATTTACCAGCTCACCTATGTCAGACCTTTTGATAAACACAATTCTAATGAAAGTGAGAACATGTACACTGAACACAGTTCAGAATAAATGTTTTTCAAAACCATTGCGTCTTTTTAGTAAATGTTTATTTCCAAAAGAAATTTCTAGAAGTTCAGAACAGTAAAATTCCCGCTTTTTAGAATGAATTAGAAGATAACTCTTACGTAGTTAAACTAAAATACTCTTGAGAGTTAATATATAAACTCTTAACACCAAGTGTTAAATTATCAACTCCAGACAGATTTGGTGTTTAACACTAAATCAGAGTTAACGTACCAACTCTCCAAAAAGAGTTAAATTAACACTCTCTGGTGTGGACCCATATAGACACTTTAATAGTGTTGAAATCAAATCCGACAGTGTTAATTTGGACATGCTGGATTTGCTGTGTAGAGGGCCCGAGTCGCCCGTCCAGCCTCAAGTGTCGTCTGCTAGAGGGCCCGAGTTGCCTGTCCAGCCTCATCCAAGTGAGATGAGAGAAATGTTTCATTCATCCAACTGACAAAACATTTCTCCCACTGAAAACGCAACGTCCAGATGAACAGAATCTACTTTTGGAGATTTACTTACCTGGACGATTGAGCATGCATGAAGACGATATTATATTATATTAACTTGTGCCATCATCAATTTTATAACTTTTTTGCCCTTCAATCAACAGAGGTCAAATTCCCAGGTGTGTGTTTGTTGTTGAGCCAAAGGCAGCATTTAAGGGAAGGTGACGAGGGAGAACAGATACTGTTAGGGATCTAGATACAGCAGCTCTGTGCTCTGTACACTTACATATTGTTACACAAAGAAGGTAGATGTGTTCTCTGATCATGGATAATGTGTCTATTGTAAGAATTTTTATTTTGTCAGGATTTAATGAGACAATGAATTACAGAGTACCACTCTTGTTAACCACCTTACTGTATTATTGTGTGATTTTATTTATCAATATTTCTCTTGTGCTGCTCATTGTCTTGGATGAAAGCCTCCATGAACCTATGTACATTTTACTGAGCAGCTTCTGCATAAATGCACTTTATGGGACCACAGGTTTCTACCCAAAATTCCTTTCAGATTTACTGTCGTCTTCTCACAGAATCTCCTATGAAGGGTGCCTTTTACAAGCTTTTATCATGTATTCATTTGCTTGCTGTGATTTGTCTATTTTAGCTGTCATGGCCTTTGACAGGTATCTGGCTATATGTCGACCTCTGCACTACCACTCTTTCATGACTAAGAGGAGGCTTTCACAGCTGGTGTGTTTCTCCTGGCTGACACCTTTCTGCATTTTTGCCATCAATGTTGTGCTTACAGCAAGACTCAAGTTATGTGGTATAAAGATTCAGAGAGCCTTATGTCTAAACTGGTTAATTGTTAAACTTGCTTGTCCTGAAGCTGACACTTTTTCGAATAACATCAGTGCATATGTGATACTTGTCATTAATGTGTCTCATTGGCTTTTCATAATTTGGACTTACATATATCTTATTAAAACATGTGTGAGGTCCAGAGAGGACAGAGTAAAGTTTATGCAGACCTGTGTGCCCCATCTGACTTCTGTGATCATAAATGTCACTGTAATGGTTTTTGATGCGATGTACTTGCGCTTTGGCTCCAGAGATTTATCCCAAAGCCTCCAAAACTTCATCACTCTTGAATTTCTCATCATCCCTCCAGTTATGAATCCTCTCATGTATGGATTTAAACTCACCAAAATACGACACAGAATCTTGAGTTTAATTTATTTGAAAGGGAAATTATTTCCATTAAGGTTAGATTTCCTTATTTAAAATAATTCAAAAATATTCAAAACTTGTCTAAGGCAAACATATATTTGGACTAGACTAATTTTACTAATATTCTTTGCTATATTTGTCATAATAGGACACATATTTGTCATATATGTCATATTTGCTCAATCCAGCACGAACGTTAAATGAAAACAACATTGTTTTTCATGTTTTTGACTAAGAATTTCATTTTAGGTACTGTTGTAAAATTCATCTATATACCATTCAGAAATCATCACAAATTGACATTTCATCTCCTTGCCTTGCTGTGTCTTCATGTTCAAGGTATATTAGCTGATATATGTGCAAGTTGATTAAACAGGTTTATTTCAAAGTGTTTTAGGTTTAAAGTAAACAAAATATTGTATGAAATATTCTGTTGTAAAGGGCTGGTTAGTGCAGGCATCCCTGTGTGTTACATCTCAGTTTATCACAAAGGTCAGTTAACAATGCTTAATGTTTTTTTTCCTATAAACACGTTACATGTATAAATATAAGGATCAGTGTTATTAGGCTGTATTTTTTCAGTAGTATTTATTTATTTATATATATAGTTTTTTTTTATTATTATTTTGGAAAAATAGTAATTGAACTGTTACCTACTTTTATTTGGCTTTTTTTTTTGTTTTTAAATTTATATGTAAATTTCTCTCTGTACATTAATTAATGACACCATAATTCTGTACTTTTTGAAATCTGATCATATATCCCCATTGCTTGACATACTGTAGTATTTACTACTTTAAAAATTAAAGTTTTGTTTAGCATATCAAGCATAAAATTGTGCTGTTGTTGTTTGAAGTTTTTCAATCCCATAGCATAAAATTAAAAAATAAAAAAAACAACAAAAAACAATGCAATAATAGTATTTTAACAGTAACTCCCTTCTCTTCTATTCCTTCCTCGCCTTAACTAGGAAGGAGGCTCTCTCAGCTGGTGTGTTTCTCCAGGCTAACACCTTTCTGCCTTTTCTCCATCAATGTCCTGCTAACATCAAGACTCAAGTTGTGTGATATAAACATTCTGTCACGGCTGCCGAGGCGAGCCATGTGGTATTGACGGGAGAAAGGACCCAAATCGCAGGCAGTAGATGATAATGCTGGTGATGTTATATTTACACAGTGGTGAGATGACAAAACAGGCAAGAGGGAAGACAAAACTAAAGACCTAAACTGGGAAAGCTAAATGACAAACCTGAGAGGGTACCAGAATGGGGTGAGAGGCAGAGAGACACGGACGAGGAACAGGACACCGTGGACCACAGAGTAACGCAGACTGACACGCCGTAACACAGACGAACCGGCATCAGGCAGGAGAACACACAGGGCTTAAATACACACACACCAGTAATCAGGGGATGAGAGACAGAAGGGCAACACAGCTGGGAGAAATCAGAGCTGACGGGACAGGGGAAACGTAAACTGAACACACTCACATCAGACAGAGACCTTCACAATAAGACAGGAAACTCAGACACAGAGAACCAAACACGACACAGAACTAAACAGACAGATTCGCAAACAGGGGGGGGGGGCACCATAGACAGACAGAGACAGACTGAATATAACACATAGAACTCGAACAATAATAATCATCATCATAATAAACTAAAAGCGCTGGGTCACCGACCCAGGACCATGACAGTACCCCCCCTCAAGGGCTGGCACCAGACAGCCCAACACAAGAAAATGAAAGAAAAACACAAAAACCGCCCAAAACAGAAAACAACCCGAACAGGGCGGGCAGCGGGGGTCCAGGAAGGAGGGCTCGAAACAAAACACCGAAGCACAAGAAAGTCCCAAAAGAAAACAGGAGTCCAAAAAAGAACAGTTCAGGGGGCCGGCCGTGCGGAAGGCAACGGCGGCGATGTGGAAACAGTTCAGGGGGCTGGCCGTGCGGAAGGCAGCGGCGGCGACTCAGGCGAAAGGGTCCGGAGGCCGGCCGTGCGGAATGCAGCGGCGGCAATTCAGGCGAAGGGGGTCTGGGGGCCGCCCACGACGGAGATGACGCCCGACCAGTGGCCTGGAAGGCGGCCAATAAACCACAGACCCAGACGAGGCTGGACCAGGCGACGCCGAAGGCGAAGACACGGAGGCTGGGCCAGACGAGGATGAAGCAGCTGAAGTGGAGGCTGGGCCAGACGAAGGCGAAGCAGCTGAAGCGGAGGCTGGGCCAGACGAAGGCGAAGCAGCTGAAGCGGGGCCGGGCCAGACGATGGCGAAGCGGGAGAAGCTGAGGCGGAGGCCGGACCGGGCGAAGCTGAGGCCGGACCAGGCGAAGCTGAGGCCGGACCAGGCGAAGCTGAAGCCGGAGCTGGACCAGGCGAGGATGAAGCCGGAGCTGGACCAGGCGAGGATGCAGCCGGAGCTGGCGACGCTGACGATGCTGATGAGGAGGCTGCTGCAGGCGACGCTGATGCTGATGAGGAGGCTGATGCTGATGAGGAGGCTGCTGCAGGCGACGCTGAAGCTGATGAGGAGGCTGCTGGTGGAGCAGGCGGCGGCAAGGATGAAACTGCTGCTGCAAGCGTGGATGAGGCTGCTGGTGGAGCAGCTGGTGGCTGGACGGGCTCCTCGGGCCCCCCAGCTGACGAGGCAGGAGGCTGGACGGGCTCCTCGGGCCCTCCAGCAAGAACAGTCTCAGGACCAGTGGGCACGGGGACCTCTGGCAGGCACAGAAGAGAACCAGCAGGCGCACGGGCCTCTGGCAGGGACAGAACAGAACCAGCAGGCACACGGGCCCCTGGCAGGCACAGAACCGGACCAGCAGGCGCACGGGCCCCTGGCAAGCACATAGCAGGCTGCAGCTGCACAGAGTATTGACTCTGCTCAGGCAGCGACAGCCGGGTGCAGTCCTCAGCTGGCTTCTTAACCTCCAGGGGTCCAGAGTCAGCTGGGGGCTGAAACCCAGCCTCAGGGGAGGCCCTGGAGTGCATCTCAGTCTCAGAACTGGCCGGCCTTTGAGGAATGCTGACATTATTAAATTTGTCTCTCTGCTTGGAATGGATGGGCGAAGAACAGTGTTTTTCAGGTTGAATTGACTTGTATTGTTGTACAGGTGGAGAAACTGACACAGGATGCAGGGCTGGTGGCTGCTGAACAGGAGGCTGAACTGAGGGTGACTGACATAATGGTTGTGATGACAATGGTGGTGGAGTGGGAGACTGAACGGATGATAAGGCTGATGATTCTTCTGCCAACTGGGCTTCTGACTGGGCTAGGGATTGCAACATAGTTTGCAGTAAGTCTGGCTGTGACTGTAACTGAGCTACGGGTGGTGAGGCTGAATGTGGTGGAGGTGGCGACTGAGCTTCTGGCCGGGCGGCTAACCGAGCTTCTGGCCGGGCGGCTAACCGAGCTTCTGGCCGGGCGGCTAACCGAGCTTCTAGTAGATAGTCTTTTTTATTTTCAGATTCCGGATTAAAAGTCCTGGTTAGCATAACACAGGACTCGGAAGAGGCAGAATGAAAGCAGTCCTTTAAATCCTCAGAGCACGTGTTAACGGACCTTGGAGTATCTGACAAAGAATTAACAGTTTCTGAATTAATCTTTTCACATTTGAATAAACCTGAGTTGACTGGCATTGAATTACTAGACTCAGGATCAACTGACAGAGTGGTCATGAATGCAAGCTCAGATGGAACAGAAAAAACACTGTGTTCCTGACTCACAGAATCTGCCGGTAACTGACGGCCGCGTGGACGTCGCTTCCACCTGGGAGAAGGGGCTAGAGCGGCAGGGGAAGCGGGCGGTGATATGAGGCAGCTCTGAAGTGGCTGCTCCTGCTGTGGGGTGGATAGGCTGGGTGGAATGAGGATGATTCCCAGTGCTTTGTAAAAAGCCTGGGCTGGTGTGAGCTGGCCACTGGGGGGTTGCATGTACATGAAACAGTCACTCTAGCTGACCCCGAGGGCTTGCTTGGCGAGCGAAGGATGACGACGGCGTGACCGCCGTTTTGCCCAGAAGGAGGGAGAAGCCGAATGAACGGGCGGCATTTTGTCTGGCTGAGAGTCCTCTGGTGGACTGGGGAGAGGATCTTCCGGTAAGCCAGGCAGGTCAGCTGTCGCAGTTGGGGGGTGAAGATGAAGTGTGTTGAGGATGAAGTCCTGTACGAGTGGGTGAAGTGAGTCCAGCAACCAGGAGTGATTGGAAACTAGCCGCTGTAGTCGGGCCTCCAGAGCATGACGAAGTTCCTCCCCCTCATGCTCTAGCCACAGATTAGTCCATCTTGAAACTGAATCAGTTAATTCCTCCCGAAGCTCCTTGGAAGGTGCGAATGCCGCTGGGTCCATGTTTGGCTGGTTCGTACTGTCACGGCTGCCGAGGCGAGCCATGTGGTATTGACGGGAGAAAGGACCCAAATCGCAGGCAGTAGATGATAATGCTGGTGATGTTATATTTACACAGTGGTGAGATGACAAAACAGGCAAGAGGGAAGACAAAACTAAAGACCTAAACTGGGAAAGCTAAATGACAAACCTGAGAGGGTACCAGAATGGGGTGAGAGGCAGAGAGACACGGACGAGGAACAGGACACCGTGGACCACAGAGTAACGCAGACTGACACGGCGTAACGCAGACGAACCAGCAACAGGCAGGAGAACACACAGGGCTTAAATACACACACCAGTAATCAGGGGATGAGAGACAGAAGGGCAACACAGCTGGGAGAAATCAGAGCTGACGGGACAGAGGAAACGTAAACTGAACACACTCACATCAGACAGAGACCTTCACAATAAGACAGGAAACTCAGACACAGGGAACCAAACAAGACACAGAACTAAACAGACAGATTCGCAAACAGTGGGGGTGACACCATAGACAGACAGAGACAGACCGAATATAACACATAGAACTCGAACAATAATCATCATCATAATAGACTAAAAGCGCTGGGTCACCGACCCAGGACCATGACACATTCAGAGAGTCTTGTATCTAAACTGGTTAATAATTAAACTTGCTTGTCCTGATGTTGACATCTTTAGAAAAAACATCAGTGCAAATGTAACAGTTATTGTTTATCTGTGTCATTGGCTTTTTATAAGTTGGACTTACATATATCTTATTAAAACATGTGCGAGGTCCAGAGAGGACAGGTTAATGTTTACGTAGACCTGTGTGCCCCACCTGATCTCTTTGATGACTTTCCTGTTTTTTCTTGATCCAGTGTACATGATATCTGGCTCTACACGTTTACCTGAAAGCCTCCAAAACTTCATCACTATTGAATTTCTCATCATCCCTCCAGTTATGAATCCTCTCATATATGGATTTAAACTCACCAAAATACGAAACAGGATATTGGGTTCATTTTATTTTAAAAGAACTTCGAAATTAAGAGCTCCTTGTTCACCAAATAAAAATAGAGCAAAATAAAATTTCAAAAATGTACATTATTCTCTTGTACATGACAGCAAATGAAGGCCTCATAACATTAACTATAAATGCACCAAGACAACCAAGTCTCAGTAAAAAGCATTATTGTTTACTTAAATTTGACCTTTAGACTATCAAAGATCTAAAGACAACTAACACATATTTTACCTTTTGAAAATTTATTATTATTGTTTCTTGTTTTTAAATTTTTTCAGATGTAAACTAAAATGCATTTCCACTTCTGGTTTTAGCTTTAATCCAGGTCATCTTATCGTTTGAACTTGAGGTGTCATAATGCCATATCTCTAACACGTTCCATTAAGATGTAAATTGGTCAATTTATTGTCATTTACAGTAAATAGGTTTATGTTTCTCAAGTAACAGACTCATATTTATATCCTTTTTTCAATTATAAAATGTTTGAGTCTCGTGAGTGACGTGTTTACTGTGGCTCAAAGTTTAGCCAGTTTTCCGGGTGCCTCTGTAGTCTCGCTCATTGTACACTTATATCACAAAGCTAATTCAGAAAATATAACTGACATGATGTCTATATTTAAGAGAATATCAGCATTATAATGTGAATGTATAATATTGTTGTCAGGCCTCTGTGTAACTGTAGGAGAAAAATAGTTTGATAGAAACAGCATTAGAATAGAATAGAATAATCCTTTAATTGTCCCACAAGGGGAAATTTGGTTGTAACAGCAGCCAGAAAGACACATATAGAAACAAACAGGACACAGAACAGAAACATACACTCATCCCTGTTGGACAACATCTCCCACCCCATGCAGGAGACTGTGACAGCACTGAGCAGTTCCTTCAGTGGCAGGCTGCGGCACACACGGTGTGGGACGGAGAGATTTCGCAGGTCTTTCCTCCTCACTGCTGTCAGACTCCACAACAAAGACTTTAACTGATCAAACACACACATTCACACACTCTGAGTGCAATACTCTTTTTCTGACAAAGTTGTATTTTTACTCAGTTGTATAAAGCATTTGCATTCTATTTCTATCCTATTGTATATTTTATTCTATTTATTGTACTGTATATATAGTATTTTATTTTATTCTATAATTAATGGGAGGTGAAGAGGGACAGCAGACATTAGTCAGGTACAGAAGCAGCAGCTCAGTGCTCTGTTATGTTGTTATTTTAAAAAGGTAGATGTGCCCTCTGATCATGGATAATCAGTCTAATAAAAGAAGTTTCATTCTGTCAGGATTTAATGAGACGATGAATTTCACAGTACCCCTCTTCTCAGTTACTTTACTGTATTACTGTGGGATTTTGTTCTTCAATATTTCTCTTGTGCTGCTCATTGTCTTGGATGAAAGCCTCCACGAACCTATGTACATTTTCCTGAGTAGCCTTTGCATTAATGCACTTTATGGAACCACAGGTTTCTACCCCAAATTCCTTTCAGATTTACTGTCGTCTTCTCACAGAATCTCCTATGAAGGGTGCCTTTTACAAGCTTTTATCATGTATTCATGTGTGTGCTGTAATTTGTCTATTGTAGCTGTCATGGCCTTTGACAGGTATCTGGCAATATGTCGACCTCTGCACTACCACTCTTTCATGACTAAGAGGAGGCTTTCACAGCTGGTGTGTTTCTCCTGGCTGACACCTTTCTGCATTTTTGCCATCCACGTCCTGCTTACAGCAAGACTCAAGTTATGTGGTATAAAGATTCAGAGAGTCTTATGTCTAAACTGGTTAATTGTTAAACTTGCTTGTCCTGAAGCTGACACTTTTTCAAATAACATAAGTGCATATGTGATACTTGTCATTAATGTGTCTCATTGGCTTTTCATAATTTGGACTTACTTATATCTTATTAAAACATGTGTGAGGTCCAGAGAGGACAGAGTAAAGTTTATGCAGACCTGTGTGCCCCATCTGACTTCTTTGATCATAAATGTCACTTTAATAGCTTTTGATTCGATGTACTTGCGCTTTGGCTCCAGAGATTTACCCCAAAGCCTCCAAAACTTCATCACTCTTGAATTTGTCATCATCCGTCCAGTTATTAATCCTCTCATGTATGGATTTAATCTCACCAAAATACGAAACAGAATCTTGAGTTTAATTTATTTGAAAGGGAAATGATTTGAATTCAAAAATATTCAAAACAGATGCAGCAATATAAATACAAGTCTTTCTGAAGGCACTTGATTCAGAAACATTTAGTCATGTTTGCCTTGTCTAAGGCAAACATATATTTGGACTAGACTAATTTTACTAATATTCTTTGTTATATTTGTCATAATATTACATATATTTGTCAAATGTGTCATATTTGCTCAATCCAGCACGAACATTAAATGAAAACAACATTTTTTTCATGTTTTTGACTAAGAATTTCATTTTTAAAAGGATTCTGCATGAGTTTTTAAGTACTGTTGTAAAATTCATCTATATACCATTCAGAAATAATCACAAATTGATATTTCATTTCTTTGCCTTGCTGTGTCTTGATGTTCAAGGTATATTAGCTGATATATGTGCAAGTTGATTAAACAGGTTTATTTCAAAGTGTTTTAGGTTTAAAGTAAACAAAATATTGTATGAAATATTCTGTTGTAAAGGGCTGGTTAGTGCAGGCATCCCTGTGTGTTACATCTCAGTTTATCACAAAGGTCAGTTAACAATGCTTAATCTTTCTTTTTTTTCAATAAACACGTTACATGTATAAATATAAGGATCAATGTTATTAGTTTGTATTTTTTCAGTAGTATTTATGTATTTATATAGGGTTTTTTATTATTATTATTTTGGAAAAAGTAGTAATACTAATTGAACTGTTACCTTCTTTTATTTGGCTTTTTTTTTTGTTTTTAAATTTATATGTAAATTTCTCTCTGTACATTAATTAATGACACCATAATTCTGTACTTTTTGAAATCTGATCATATATCCCCATTGCTTGACATACTGTAGTACTTACTACTTTAAAAATTAAAGTTTTGTTTAGCATATCAAGCATAAAATTGTGCTGTTGTTGTTTGAAGTTTTTCAATCCCATAGCATAAAATTAAAAAATAAAAAAAACAACAAAAAACAATGCAATAATAGTATTTTAACAGTAACTCCCTTCTCTTCTACTCCTTCCTCGCCTTAACTAGGAAGGAGGCTCTCTCAGCTGGTGTGTTTCTCCAGGCTAACGCCCTTCTGCCTTTTTTCCATCAATGTCCTGCTAACATCAAGACTCAAGTTGTGTGATATAAACATTCAGAGAGTCTTGTATCTAAACTGGTTAATAATTAAACTTGCTTGTCCTGATGTTGACATCTTTAGAAAAAACATCAGTGCAAATGTAACACTTATTGTTTATCTGTGTCATTGGCTTTTTATAATTTGGATTTACATATA